TTTGTTTACATGGATCACACCCCCCCCCCCCCCCCCCCCTCTTAAGCCATTTTCTCTCATAGTAAGTCCTACAACGACCTTAGAAGAAATCTTATCGAAAATAGAATAAAACTCTTAAAAGCCACATAAGAAAATAAAACAAAGTTTCAATTTAGCGAGTCTTCGCTATTGGGAGGCTCTTCACTATAGCGAGGCCCTTTTGCTATAGCAAAGATCGTTGACCAGTACGAAAACAATGTCCTAGTGCTCGAAGTTGAACAACATTAAAAGAAAATTTGTCATGGAATTCAACTATCGTAACATAATTCTTTAGAACAGTGTCCTAAAGTACAAAACTACATATGAAAATTCAGGAAACTATATAGTATATATCATGAAGTTTGAGAATTTATCAGTCCAAACTTTAAATTTTTTCTAGAGTTTGAGTAAATCATAGTACAAGATTCACTAGCTCCAAATACTATTTCCTAGTTTTACTTTATACGCTTTGTTTTTAAATTTCACTTTTGTAAATTTAAATTCTTAATACTATCCCTAAATTTCAAGTTTATTTTATTTGAACTAGTCATCAAGCTTCGTAAACAAGCACTTGGGAGATAACTTATGTTTGTTGAAAATTTTGCTCATTTTAGCATGACATATATGAGGCTAAAAGCCATTCATATCTGTGAATTTAGGTTTTAGGCCTAACTCACACCCTAAAAGTTAGCTCAGTGGGAGGAGGATCATCCAAACCTTAGAAGGAGTCCATCCATTTCATTAAACCATAAATGTGAGACTTTTTGTTATTCTTTAACACCTCCACCTCACACCCAGTGCTTAGTATCTGGTGTGTGAGTAATTATTTATTTTGAGGGGCCCAACATTGGGTAATGTGAGACTTTTTGTTATTCTTTAAAACCCCTACCTTGCGCCCAGTACTTAGCATCTGGTGCGTGAGCAATTTTTTATTTTGGGAGCCCCAACATTGTGTAGTGTGAGATCTTTTGTTATTATTTAACACCCCACCTCACACTCTTTTTGTTTCTTCTTTAACACCCACTTCACGCCCAGTGCTTAGCATCTAGTGCGTGAACAACTTTTGATTTTGAGGGCCCCAACATTGGGTAATGTGGGACTTTTTGTTATTCTTTAACACCTCATCTTGCGTCAGTGCTTAGCATCATGTGCGTGGGCAATTTTTGATTTTGGGACCCCAACATTGGTTAATGTGGGACTTTTTATTATTCTTTGAACACCCCTTTCTCACGCTCAATGCTTAGCATTAGGTACGAGGGCAGTTTTTGATTTTGGGGGCCCAACATTGGGTGAGATGGTCCTGCTCTAATACCATGTGAAATTAAGTATAGGGCCTAACTCACACCCCAAAAGCTAGCTCAAATGGAGGAGAATCACCCAAACTTTATAAGGAGTACATTCATCTCATTAATCATCAATGTGAGACTTTTTGTTATTTTTTAACATCCCACCTCAAGCCAGTGTTTAGGATCTAGTGCGTGAGCAATTTTTAATTTTGGGGGCCCCAACATTGGGTAATGTGGGACTTTTTGTTATTTTTTAACACCCCACCCCACGTTCAGTGCTTAGCATCCGATGCGTGGACAATTTTTGATTTTGGGGGCCCCAACATTGGGTAATGTGGAAATTTTTGTTGTCTTAACAGCCCACCTCACACCCAGTGCTTATGCGTAAGCAATTTTATTTTTTTTTGGTCCCCAAAATTAGGTAAGATGGATCCTGCTCTGATACTATATGAAATTAAGTTTTGGGCCTAACTTACACTCTAAAAGTTTGCTCAAAGAGAGAAGGATTGCCCAAACCTTATAAAGAGTACTCCATCTCATTAACCATCAATGTGAGACTTTTTGTTATTCTATAACAATATGATTCACGTTGATCAATGTATAAATGATTTGTTATTTTGCTTGATTATAATGTGGAGAGCCTTGTAATATTACCTTTAAGTAATAATGTCGTTATCATTTTAATCAAATAATTGGTATCTTCTTTAATTTAATGTGTAGCTCGTTTATCATTAACTTACAAACAGGTTACAAGTGTTGAACTATCCAAGATGATATTCATAGAAAAATACGTTCTATTAAAAATTTAGTAAAACTAAATTTGTCTGCAAAAATCAAGAAAATACTCCTAACTTTCAACTTTCCTGAAAATTTTTGCAGCTTGAAGTTGGCCTCAACTACTTTCAAATTTTTTTATAGCTGAAAACTTACACACTTTGATACGTATACATTCTATTGTTTAACAACAATGTATTCATATGTATATTATATTGGTGTATTCATTTTTTGTTCAATAACAATGTATCCATTTTTCAAATTGTGGTGTTCATATACTAAATTGTTATACTTTACCTAGTTTGACATATTAATATATTAAGTTTTTATAAATACTTGTATCCTTGATATATTAATACTTTAAATTTTATAACTAGAGATACCAATTTGAATTCAAAGTAATCATATGCTAACTGTAAAATTAATACATTTTCCTTATTTAGTTCATTGTAATTAAAATTGTTTCAGTATATAAATATAAAAAGACAAAACACATATTCAAACATACAACTAGAAAAGACATAAATTGTAGTTATTTTTGTAAATAACAAACGTATATCTATTGAACTTTAATAACCTTATAAATATAGCCATTTTTGTAAGTTACTCTAGATATTTAATAACCTTCCTATTTAATATTTAATAACTTTCATGATTAATTATATATAATTAACTTTGCTATTTGTTGTGTATTTATATCCATATAACATGAAAAAAAAACTTTAGCTATTTATTTTAAATGTCTATTGATGTTTGTCATATTCGATAGTTTCTCCTTATTTTTAATGTAACGATATTATATAAATAGTGGATATATATATACACACGTTGTTTATAATTTATTTATATATTGTACAAATTTATCTTCCTCAAATAATTGATTCCTTTTTCAATCCCGACCAATTCAGTACATGTCTTCCTCTAAATACAACTCAAACCACTACAACATTTTAGGCTTTCAGCCACACTTGTAAAGTGTGGCCTAAACTAGCAAAAAGTGTGGGCTTTAATAAAAGGCAACACTTTTTTGGGGGGTGGCCTAAAAAGGTGTAACCTTTGAGCTTAGGCTACACTTTTCAAGTGTTACCGTAGCAGCTACGCTTAAAAAGTGTGGCCAATGAGGTACAAAGGCCACACTTTGTAGCATCTCATTGGCAACACTTTTATTTGATAAAACTACACTTTCTAGCGTGGTCTTTGCTTTGTTATTGGCCACAGTTCAAAAGTGTAGCTTTTTATACCTCTTCAACAACAACACTTATAACGTGTAGCCTTTTCAAATGTACATAATACATTTTATAATCAATAAGCCACACAATTGGCATCCCTTTAGCAACACTTTTAAAGTGTGGCAACGTTGTCTAGAATTTTTATAGCCACAATTTCTAATTGAAAAATAATAATTTTGGTTTGGATAGATTCACTATTAGCATAACTGTATAATATAAATTATCTCAAACATCAAATTAGCTAATAAATAGTTCAATATATTGATTTACAATAAACTTCGAAAAACATGTCTTGTACTACATACTTAGAAAGGAATATTTTAAAGAGTTGTACTAGCAATAAATTTCACAATGTATTCAAGCATAAATAATAGTAGTTCAAAAACACTATCGTTCGCTCCAATATATTGAGTTGACCTGGGGCCATTATTCAAATTTGATCACCTGCATTTTCATACATATTCAAAAGAAAATTAAATCTTAGAAAACAAATTCACACTCGACACTAGTCATGGTTAATCATCCTATGAGAGCATTGGAAAAGTAGGAACAAGATGAATCATGATAGAAGAATCAATTTTTATAGACTAGTACATCATGTAAATACCAACATATGGCAGTTGGTTAAAACCAATTATCCTAGAATGCAGAATATTCCATCATAGTAACTGAGAGAATCATCACTAAAGCAATATTGTTGTTGCTAGTTGGGGAAATCCTGGTAAGAGCTCCTATGAAATATGTGTTGGAAGACATAGAAGAACTTACTTGGAGGGAAATCAAAATATTTGAAAGAGATTGTCCAGAGGTATCATGAAAATGCACATCAAGCTTTTCAACAAATACCATAGTCCACAGCTTCAAGCATAGGAACAACAGTTCCTAGAAAGAAAATAAAATAACATGAAACAGACGTATTTTCTAGGAATGAGTAGTTTCATCGAGGGTATGCTCAAACTAAAAACACCACCTACTTTGAAAATGAGAAAATAAATGTTTTGTCCTTTACTTTTAAAAAAACAACAATTCAATTTAGTAACAAAGTTATGCCAAATATACATGTAACAAATCATGATACTAATTTCTCTGAACAGGACAATCAGCTTGTGAGGGTCTTAATTGTGATTCACAAAAGGGAAATGTCCAGGCTTGACCACATTACGCATGTTTCATTAATGTAGGAAAGTGTCTTTGCTGACATTGAATTCGATTCATATTAATGATTTTTTCTGATGTTGATGCTGCTTATTCCTATCATATATACTCATCTGGAAAAATCTGTTTGGATTTTTAGTTCTAAGACATCTGGGTTATGTATTAAACAATGTATAAAAGACGTTCGGGTCACTTCACAAATTTAATTTATTTATTTTTAAAGTTAAAGTTGAAGGTATGCTCTTCACAAATTTAATTTTTAGAAACTCTGTTTATCATCTCTAACCAACCCTCCAATTGCAAGTAAAATTTGAAGCTATAGTGCAACTCTAAGTTGCATTTTTAGCACAATATGCTTGGTCACACTGGGAAAATTTTATTTTTTATCAATACAATACTTTAGCTTTGGACTCTAAACATAGAATTATTTTCGCAATATAAATAGCATATCAGTAGAATCTTAATGAAAGAACTAAGGCATTTTTCAATTGTAATGCAATACATAATTTAAAATATTACCTGGAGTAGCGATTCCTATTGTGTCTCCAAGGAAAATTTCGAAACATCCCATGTCATGAAGTTCCTTTGCTACATATGCCACTTTTGAAGGTGAAATCACTCCTTCGACTGGGCACCCAATAGCACAGGATACATATCTGTCGAGCAATGAAAGATCTGATTTAATTTTATACCACGTATGATGGTAAGGCATAAATGTTACACGCTGCAACATCCAAGCCGAAGAAAACTAAACTAAGATTTCTAATCTTTTTTTTGCCTAGAGAAATATTGAAGTCCTCATCATATTATTATTTGACTAAGCAAATCAAAGTTAGAGAGCTGAGTCCAATTAGATTACTCGCTTCAAAATAATAGCCAGAAGACAATGATTCAAAGTCACAGTGATAACAGAAAACAAAGAGCAATTCTTTCATTATAAAACTCCACATCATTACTGGATTTGAAACTCCACATCATGAATTTGATCTGTTACCAAAAGTAACTTTTTTTAAAGTGAAAGAAAAAACAAAACTTTGAATCATCAGTTTGTAAAACGAGTAATCTCTCATTGTCTCAATCAAATTTATTCCGTCAAAAAATTGCAAGACAGACTATCAGTGATGACCCTCATCATCACTGCCATGTCTATCAGGAGGTCCTCCAGGTCCAACCACTTCCAATTGTAATAGAAGAAACCATTTAGTATGAAAATTAAGTGTTTCCCTTGAGTCATCAAATTTTGCTAGGATCAACACATAATTGAACTTGCACAATTCATGCAAACTGAAATTGCATTCTATCTTTTTCTTGATAAGGTAGATATTCTATTAATTGGCACCAAGGTGGTATAGGAAAAGAAACAAAAAGCAACACAATTCTAACCTGAATACTGACTGTGCATTAACATACTATAAGTTATAACAATTCTTAACTGATTTTTTTTTTTTTGTATTTTACTAGCCCAACCAAATCAGGGTATCCACCTTATTCCAGATACTTTGATCATTCCCCTTTTTCGCTCCTAGTGGAAGCCCCAAAGAAACAGTGAGGAACTTTTCCGCCTTACATCCCAGGATGTCAGCTAGTTCCTTGACAACATGAAAAAATCAAAAGCCCCTCTCTATCAGCATATAGAATGTGCGATAAGATAACCCTATCAACACAATTTCTTCGAAAGCTCAGGCCTTTTATCCAACCCAATTTTTCAGCTTGCTTCTCCATCATACTAAAAGCTTCTATCACCAGAGTAAACATATAGGGGGAAAGTGGACCCCTTTGCCTCAAGCCTCTTTGAGAGCTAAAAAAATCATGTGGACTCCCGTTTATCAATATATAGAATTTTACACTAGATTTGTGGTAACAAATTCATTCAATTCACTTATCACCCATTTGTTTTAGAATATTTAATAAACAAGACCAGTTAACATGGTCGTAAGCCTTTTCAAGATCAAGCTTGCAGCAACTCCTCTCTTCTTTGATTTCATTAGTTTCTCAATGCTTAAATTGGTGGTCAAAGTTGCATCAACTATTTGCCTCCCTTTAATAAATGCATTCTGATGTTCAGACACTAACTTATCAACTACCAGTTTGAGCCTTTCAGCCAATAGTTTAACAATAATTTTATACACTCCCAAGTAAGCTGATAGGCCTGAAATCTTTCACCTCAACCGCCCCCTTTCTTTTAGGTATCAAAACAATAAAAGTAGCATTTAAACTTTTAACAAAATAATCCTTCTGATAGAAAATTTCTAGTCCTTCTGGATATTTTTGGATGACCTGGAGAGAGATAACATCTGGTATGTGCAAAAGTGTCATCAGTGTCAAGTGCATGGAGATTTTATACGGGTTCCACCGAATGAGCTCAATGTGATGGGTTCCCCTTGGCCATTTGCCGCTTGGGGCATGGACGTTATCGGACCCATAGAGCCTCCCGCATCAAATGGACATCGTTTCATTCTAGTGGCTATCAATTATTTCACAAAATGGGTCGAAGCTTCGACATACAAGGCAGTGACTAAGAAGGTAGTGGCAGATTTTTGTTCGCGACAACATAGTTTGTCGGTTTGGAATTCCAGAATCAATCATAACAGACAATGCAGCCAACCTCAACAACAATCTTATGAAAGAAACTTGTGAAAGGTTCAAGATTGCTCATCGAAATTCCACGGTTTACCGGCCACAGATGAATGGAGCAGTTGAGGCTGCAAATAAGAATATCAAGAAGATTTTAAGGAAGATAGTAGACAGTCACAGACAATGGCATGAGAAGCTACCATATGCTCTACTCGGTTATCGCACCACAATCAGAACATCAACTGGGGCAACTCCTTATATGTTGGTTTATGGTTCGGAGGCAGTAATATCTGCCAAGGTGGAAATACCATCTTTAAGGATTATCCAAGAGGTTGGTCTGGATATGTAGGCAACTTGAGTCAGGCCCGGTCATTGCAATTCATATTTTTCACTTTCCAATTGTAGTCGAACTACGTCCTGACCTGATTTCACTTGGATACGTGTAGGCAGCCTGAGTCAGGCCCGGTCATTGCATTTCATATTTTCACTTTTCTTTGTATTTGAACTACGTCCTAACCTGATTCCGCTTGGATATGTAGGCAGCCTGAGTCAGGCCCGGCCATTGCATGTCATATTTTTCACTTTCCTATTGTAATTGAACTACATTAGACCAGATTCCACTTGGATACATAGGCAGCTTGAGTCAAGCTCGGTCATTGCATTACATATTCTTACTTTTCCCTTGCATTTTTTACTTTCCTATTGTATTTGAACTACGTACTGACCTGATTCCACTTGGATACGTAGGCAGCTTGAGTCAAGCTTAGTCATTGCATTACATACTTCTATTTCTCCCACTTGTATTCGAACTACGTTATGATCTGATTCCTATTTTGGGGATACGTAGGCAGCCTGAGTCATGCTCGATCAATTCTCTGCATACCCTTAGGAATAGTGGCGAATTTACAGCCAAAAAATAGGGCATCCGCACCCGTGGTCTCTTCGTAAAATTAGATATTTTATATGTATATTTTTTAAGATTTTGTATAATATAATATTCTTGCACCCGTACTACAAGAAGTCTAAATGGTCCACATGGTTAAATGTTGAGCTTTTGACCTTGAGGATTAAGGATCAATTCTCACTTCAATACATTTTACTTGGTGCACCCATTTTCGAAAAATCCTAGATTCGGCTCTGCTTAGGAAACATTCCTCATAGTTAGCATAACCTCAAAATATTGAAGAATATCGATTGTCGCAGTGTCTGCAAAAAAGCTAGGAAAGCTTCATCAGAAGGGTAAAAGCTATAGGAGGCCTACGTTGGATATAGTAAAAAAAAAGGAAAGCTCAATGGACTTCGGAACATGTTATAATCTAAAACGCTGGAGAATTAACTATATATATATATACCTAATATATGCGTAGTATACTTATTTTCTAGAAAAACAAGCTAATTCTTTTCAAAAATATTTTTCCACTCATCCACCTACCAAGTCTCTAGGTTAAGAAACTATGTGTGGTACTGACAAGGTGTCGAAGGATTCTAGTGATGAGGCTTCAGTTCGCAAGTCGATGCAAATCAACACCCCCTCCCAAAACTAAAATTTTCTTTGAGTGCAGGAACATAGGAATCAAGAAAATAGCATCAAGTCTCAGGGCATGACCAGAAACACCATTCGATTTCTCACAATCATGAGTCAAAATACTATTTCTCTACTTCATTTCTTGGAAATACTTCAACTTGCATCTTATGACTAAAATATATTTTGTTTAAATCTTTGTAGGTATACTCAAAGATCCAGACCAAATGATGAAGAAAGAAAATCCTCGTAGGAAAATAGGATAGTTAGCTTTCTTTCGAAATAACTCCACCAACTGGAGCTTGTAATCTAACCTCATCAACAACTCCGCCAATCGGAGACCACCGTTTAACAACGCCAAACTCCACAAGTTTGGGGTTGTACATAGCAAACATCATCAAACTCTGCCAACCGGAGGCCGTACATAGCAAACATCGTCAAACTCCGCCACCAGGATGTTGTACATAGCAAACATTGTCAAACTACGCCAATCGGAGGCTGTACATAGCAAACATTGACCGAACTCCGCCAATCGGAGCCTGTATATAAGCAAAAGAAGCAACACTCCGCCAATCAGAGACTACATCGTAGTGACGTCACTGAAGCTTCATCGATCGGGGGCAGGCACGCAAAGAAACGCTATCACACGTCGACAATTAAATTTACATTACAATCTTTACACAACCGAATACATGCTTTTACATTACAACAGCCCCTCCAACCAGAGGCTTTACATTACAAGCTTTACACAGTCGGATACAGGCTTTTACATTACAACAACCCCGCCAGCTGGAGGCTTTACACTACAAGCTTTACACAGCCGGATACAAGCTTTTATATTACAACAGCCCCGCCAGCTAGAGGCTTTACATTACAAGCCTTACACAGCCAGATACAGGCTTTTACATTACAACAACTCCGCTAGTTGAGGGCCTCTACATTACAAGTTATTTTACCTACATCACATTCACAATACAAAAAGAGACATCAACAATCGTTTGAACATCTACACTCTACTCTTTTCATTACTATTTCAATTTATAATTTTTGAACCGCAACAGGTACTTTTCACCCTTTTACATGTTTTGCAGGACAAAGCATTATAACGAGGAAATCCCTCTAAGCAGCAAACTAGGGCAAGTTAGTGCAATGTCAAGCATCACTAGCTACGTCAAGGATTCACTTTCAAGACTCAACTCGACTCGATTTTCAGAAGTTCAGATTTAAATTTCACTTATAGCTCTTTCATGTCTCAGTTCATTGCAACTCGACACTGGGCATCCTTTTGAAAATTCATCTATCTACCTTGAGTCTTTAGTAGAAATTGCTACAGAGCATTTCTCATTCAAGTTTCTTTAGAACTATATCTCATCCCTCTATTCGTGCTAATCTCTTCATACCTTACCACCGAAAGATTTCAGTATTACCATAATTCGATACTGGGGAAAAATTTTAATAAAAATTTGCTATGTTCTCGAACTACATGTGGCCTGATTTCTCATGAAACTTGAGATATGTAGGTAGCTCGGAAGCCAGAGTTCGGCCATAACCCCATAACCA